ACAACGAAACAATGCCCACAGATGGTTTCGGTCAACTGAAGTCGTTGTTGTTCTGCGTGTACAGATGCGAGTATATACACGCCACTCGTGAAATTCGAAGGCGAACCGGTGTCAAAGATGTGATTGAGACTATCTACGATTCAAAGAAGCGATGGGCAGGACATGTTAGCTCGTCTTAAGCGATAACCGTTGGACATCCCGAGTGACCGATTGGTATCCCCGCGGAGTTAAAAGGCCGCAAGGAAGACCCCCAGCCAGGTGGAGTGATCCTTTTAGGAAATTATTTGGACAGAGATGGCAACAAATGGCAAGAAATCGAAACGAATGGCATAGATGCGTCCTGCAAGGATGGCGAAATCACCCTTGAAGAGCGGACATCAATGTATTCAAGGTATATACACGCCAGTGCAATGCCCAAAAACCTACCATACCCTATGACGGAATTTCTGTGACAGGAAATCCAAACAATCCAGAGGAGAAGGAAAATTTGATCAGAATTTGTTACCCAATCTAATCGATTTCGAACGAATTTCATTTAGCCGTTAGTAGCTCACCCATCGAACCGACCCCCATCCTTCTGAAAACCGTTTATTAAAGGCAGCTAATAGTGTGTGATATGAATGTTTAAATTCAAACAGATCAACTAAAACAGCTTAGACTGCAGGGCCATAACAAGGACGAAGGTCTCACCATAGGCTATCAAGCCTACTTTTCAGTAATGTTCCGGAAGTTAGTCATTGCTAACGATTCACTTAATAAAAAAGAGCATCATAGTATGGGAAGAATGTTGACAAGACACACATTTCATTGAGCAGATTCATGTGGACTGAACACATTAGGAAGAATAAGCAGAAAATCGATAAAATTATCACAAATATTCGGAATAAAGTGAAGCTATGCAATAGATTCAGGTACTCAGCTACCAGATTTAGCCGAGTATAGAGTGGCAGTATTTCCAAGTACGAGCACATTGTTTTGAGTGTGTTCAATGCCTGCTTAATTCAATCAATTCTTTTTTTACACTAATGCTTCTGAATTCCTGGTGGAAAGATGTAATATCCGATCCGCTGACAGGGTTAAAACATCCATCTGTATATGAATGCACAGCACTTGTGATTGAAAAATTATTACGCAGAATTGAATAGATTGCCTATAGAATGCAAAATTTCAGGAATTAAAGGAATCTCTAAAAGGCCATTTGCTAAGGTACATAACAGTGCAATCACTGGTCGCAGTGCCAGCGAACGAACTAGGTGACGAACTCAAACGCCGAAGAGATAGAGACGGTTGCATAATGCTTTCCAGCGTAAGAGTAATATACAAAAAGCACAGGGAAACTGAAGGAGTATTCGATACGATAAATTGAAGGTAGGATTGGCTGCTTTTATTTATGTTGAACAGCGTTCATAAAAATATTTTTAACGATAATTTCCATGAAAAGCCAAATGCTACGGTTCTCCAATACTCGTCTCCTGCTATTACCTGTGAAATCTTTTGAATAGAATTCATTAGCGTGGAATATGCTCGAAAACTATTTTTTAGAAACTTGCGAATTATCGAAAGAGACATGTCCAGCGTTTAGTGACTTAAACAAGGATCCACCATTTAAAACACTTGTTTAAAGCATGCGTTATTCAACTTCAGTTTTACCTTCTCACCTTTCGGCTCTGTTTCCGTTAAGCCCATGGAACAATGTCGTCCTCCACCTGACTTGTTTTATGAAATTTTGTTTAAAAATTAAGTCCTAACCTCACGATCGACCACAGAATGTACTCGAGGATCGTCAAATGGCAGGAGATGACTGCATCACAGTTGAGCGAGGCTAATCGACTAAAATTAGTCGTCCAATCACACTCTACAGATCAAGGCTCCACGCCCGACGGACGTCATACAAAACCCACCAGGAACTAGTGCAGTAGATTCTTTGATTCCGTAATGAATTGGTGGAATTCTTCACAATATTTGGGCGGCAAATTATGCATATATATTCTACATCTTGCGTACAAAGGTTCTGCAAAGTACTCCGCTCGATGTGTTGGCTTATGTGGGTCGACACGAACAGCATCTGGTGACAAAGTGCGGGAAGGCTGGTTGAAGCTGTCCTCATCTGAAAGGGAAGGGAAACAGCTGCAAGAATAACCTAAACCAAATTCTAAACAGATTCTACTACTGAAACTCACCAATGTAGAGGTGATCCCCGGGTAGCACACTAGCAATGAGTGAAGAATTTTGAGTATTAACATTCTGAGGACACATCACATGCGTTTTGTTGCTGTACTTGGCGAGGTGTTCGCAGGGAGTCTGGGAATGAAAAGTTGAACAGCAGTAAAACGGCTTACAAAAATCGAGAAACGAACTGCGTCCTAGACAAGACATACACAAGGAAATATCAATACAGGCCAGGCTTATAGGCGCATGCATTGCGCGCGCAACACAGATCTGTGGCGAATTTTGATGGTGCGACGAAAAATTTCAAATTTGGCTTGATACAATACGAATATCTGAATTCTCCGCTAAATTCTATGCGCTCTTTCTTCGTCAACCATTATCCTATTTTTCTCGGTCCTCGGCCCGGACAATAAATCTCGTGGCGAACTCCGTCTACTTCGGTGCGTGCCCTGCCGACCAATAGCATTTGGCTCCCTTCTTTTCGCCGACCTCTACCCCCTTTTTCACCGGTCTCTGGGACCTCTTGGAACCAAATTACGACACTTTTGGCAAACTCCGCCCACTTAGGTGCGTGCTCTACCCAGTGATAGCAGTTGAGCTCTTTTCCCTCACCAACCTCTAACCCCGTTTTCCCCTATCTCTAGGACCTCTTGCAACCGAATTGCGATACTTTTGGCAAACTCCGCCCACTTGGGTGCGTGCTCTACCCACTAATAGCATTTGACCTCCTTTCCTTCGCCGACCTCTACTCCCTTTTTCCCAGCCTCCTGGACTTCTTGGGCCGAGTTATGAATTTTCGTCGCAAACTCCGCCCACTTTGGTCAGGCCCCGCCCACCATGACAATTAACCTCCACTCCTCCACCCACCTCTATCCACCTTTTCCCCAGCCTCCGGAGCTTCATGGAGCCGAGTTATAAATTTTCGTCGCAAACTCCGCCCACTTTGGTCAGGCCCCGCCCACCAATGACAATTAACCTCCACTCCTCCACCCACCTCTATCCACCTTTTCCCCAGCCTCCGGAGCTTCATGGAGCCGAGTTATAAATTTTCGTCGCAAACTCCGCCCACTTTGGTCAAGCCCCGCCCACCATTGATAGCTGGCCTCCACTCCTCCATACACCTCTATCCACCTTTTTCCGGCTCTTTAGGACTTCCCCGACCCGAATTATGAGGGCTTGTAGAAAATGCTGTACACTTCAGAGCGCGCCCCGCCCATTCTGGGCGGGCCTCCGCCCACGTCATGTATGCGGAAACACCTTAGACATTGCTCCCTTACACCAAATTGTTTTCTGCTCTGTAGGCTTTCTCCCAACCGAGTTATGAAATTTTTCATAAAGCACTGCTTTTTTAGAGAACGCCCCGCCCACCGGGGGTGGGTCTCCCTAATTCGATGTGACTTACCAATGCACACCTTACCCACTTTTTGGCCCAGTTTCGAGGTCGTTTTGTCACTGAAATCGAAATCTTGGTCTTTGGTACAATTCATTTCGACGCACGCCACGCCCTCTGTGGGCGGGGCTCCGCTTAGCTGATGTGTGTTTTGTATTACGTGAGACCCTTGCCCACCCATCCCACACTTGACCCGGTCCCTCCAGGCGGATCCCGAGGAGCTAGGGAATTTTCGTGACAGACACACAGACAGACGACAGACGACAGACGAAGCGCTTTATAGTTAGTAGGAAAATGTTTTTCACTGAAATCGAAATCTTGGTCTTTGGTACAATTCATTTCGACGCATTTCGACGCACGCCACGCCCTCTGTGGGCGGGGCTCCGCTTAGCTGATGTGTGTTTTGTATTACGTGAGACCCTGCCCACCCATCCCACACTTGACCCGGTCCCTCCAGGCGGATCCCGAGGAGCTAGGGAATTTCGTGACAGACATACAGACAGACGACAGACGACAGACGAAAGCGCTTTATAGTTAGTAGATAAAGCGCAATGATCAAACATCCTCTCCAAACCCAAAACGATAATGTCGTTGAAACTTCAAATCATCGTAAAAACTAGAGATCCTGTTGAGACTTGTATATTACTGCTCCTGCTTTTTCAACAATTTTTCAACAGTTCTTTTCCCACCGTTCTATAATCTCACTCTCTTCAAACCAGATACACCTCGTCCGCCCAACAGGCGGATGTAGTCTACCTGGTTAAGAGATTGATCGTACTACAAATAGTACATCACCTACTCCAGCAATGATGGATCATGAAAGTATTGCCCCTAAGAAAATGCCAGTAAACACTTCGCAAATTTAGTAGACCATGAAGAAAAGGGTCTTGAAAGAAACCTCCCGTTTTCCTAAAAAAAAACGCTCCTCAAAGTAAGTATAGAGTACCAAATCTGTATGATGTGCCTCTTCTCTGAACAATATTCAATGTCATCATCATCGTGCATTCCTCAGAAGGTTAGGGTGCTAGCGCATTTCACACAAAACCCAGTATGTACTTCAGCGACGGCAATAATGCTCGATATATAGCTGGCCTTCTGACTTGCCTGATCTGAACCGTTTAGATTCTGCCGTATGGAGCCGGCCGGAGTGGAAAGTCTGCTAATAGAAACGCTGCAGCTTGGACCCTCCCACTCCTTCCCCAGAAAAACTTATGGACCTTTTTGGTGATAACATCTGTCGATAAGAAAATTGAAGTTTGTATCGTTACCAGAGGACGCCTTTTCAAGCAACATCGTGTTTAGCGCTGCTGCATGTATATTGTATTGTACAGAAAAAGAACTTATCCAGGATGTATGGCTTTTCCTTACTATGATCAATGAATTATGCGGCAATTATTATTATTGATAGCCACCTTGTAAATAAGTGCACAAGTTGTTTTTACCTGAGAGAGCCGCGTCAATTCGTATACTTGTGGAGGCGGTAGAATGACTTCCCCATTAGAGGCCTTCTCTAAACAGTCTTTTGGCGCCATCCAGAAATGATGAGACATTTCCCGTTGGCACATACGTATTTGTGGTTCACCTATAAGTTCTTCGCTGCACAAGATCACAACAACAAAATTACTCGACTTGGTGCTAAGTGGGTTGGGGGGCCACGCGGCGGCGCGGCAGTCTGCTCACCTGGGCTCTCTCGAGCGAGACAGTGTAAACTCGAACATTCCAGCTTTTCACGCATGTCAAGTGACTGCCCCCACCCCCTAGACTGCCTACACTCCCCCTGGCCCACGGATTTCCGAACATGCCAGGCGAGCAGACTGCCGCGCCGCCGCGTGGCCCCCCCCCCAACTAACTTAGCACCCACAACTTACCATCTAGCCGTACTATGAAGAAAGATGTCATATATCGTCGCTTATATGATGAAGGCGTCAACCATGTGTTCCATTCGATCAAATCATCGACTGGGGGAGTTGAGCAAGCCTAAATTTGAAGCCTTTGCTGCTGAGTATTTTAAACAGTTAAGTGTTGAGATAGCAAAGTGCATCTCCCCCTCAAAGGCAAGATTCAGGATTAAATTATGAGGTAATTCCACTCAAATGTGAAGTAGGGGTAGGAAGTGGACCGCCAGTGGAGAAAAAGAAAAAAATCGTGAAATACACAGGAAATACGAGCCTTTTGCTCTACTGCGGAGAAGTTCAAAAGGCCGGCAGGGAGATGAGAGATAATGTGAGCGCGGAGAGCGCTAGAGAAGTACGAGTAGAGAGAGCATAGCAGATCAAGTTAGCGACGCAGACAAGATATCGAGCGGTGGGCGGAGCGTGTCGCAGCAGGTGGAGCGTGTCAAAGTTCTTAGCGCCTAGCGTCTAAATAACGCTTTTCGAAGTAGGGAAGTGACGCGACCTCTACACTTGCGTACCTAGCGCTTCTAGCCACCGTAAAGGCTCATTAAGTGGGTCTGAGCCCGAACTTTGCCTTTAAGCCAATCATTCAGGAAAATTTCAAATTCGAATTACTACTTCGTCTTACCAACTTGAATTGGTCCGGATCCTTTCTCGTATTTTCTTGTATGATTTCCAGTTCTCGAGAGTTCGCTGCGGACTCCTTTTGACCAAGAAGAAGACCAGTCTCTTCGAAAAGTTCCTGAAGTGCAAGGTTCGAGGAAAACAAAGGCACCCATAACCAGGGGTTAATGCTATGACACCTATGCACGACCATTACGACAGCGTCTTGCGTTATAGATACGCTTGACTGCAATGGTAACATGTGTTGAACCCGTCCGGTACTATGATGTGCACATGTGAGGCAGGAGACACAGAATGTTATTCCGCGTGTACGGTGAACCCCATAATCTGGCCGCTTAACAACTTTCACTGGCTGCGGTGAACTGAATATAATAAGATTTCTCAAGTATGATGAGTTTTTTGTAAGGACGAAGTTAAGAACACTAAAAATTGGCAAAATTTCTAATCCACTGCCCTCCCCTCCCTGTTAGAAACTATAAGTAAGACATAGTTTGGGGCATGAATGTGGTGCTAAAGTGGTTCGATTCGATTTCAATTTGACCGCACATGAATTTGGTGAATTTTTTCAACTTCTTGAGTGAAATTTTTTGAAGTTTCATCCCATGCTTCCCAAAAAGTTGTCATGGTGATTCGCCCAAATTTTGAACTGCATGTCATTTTGACAGACCTCATCAAGTTGGTAGTTGATGCAAGCAGTTTGTCCTACGTGAGGTCACACAAACTGGCTTGCATCAAACTTGCAGTATGCAATCCTTTAGTCTGCACATTGTCTTACTGATCCACCCAATCATTCTGAGCGGGACATCGCATGTCAGATAAATTCTTCAAGGCACTCACCCTCAAAGCGGCAATTTTGGTCGGATGACCAAGTTTCTCATCGGAAGGGGTCACTACGCCACCAGGAAAAACCAACGCATTTGGCATGAACTTAGCAGTGGCCCCACGTTGCATCACCAACACACGACCAGTGGTACGGCTCACTGAAAGCATGTTGTTAAGAAACAGTACTTGACTCTTAATAGTACAGGGTATGGCGAAATTACTGGCGCACCAGTTTTTCGATAACTTTCGAAATCAAGAAACCAATTGTGTATTATACTAAAACAGCGCTATTGAAATTCTGGGACGAAAATGATGACCATTACCTGCTAGCCGCTTCGGATCATTTAACATTTGAGTACTGCAAAGGCTGAAAGCGACGATTTCGATAAAATCATCATTTGCATTGCCATGCTTGGATTCATAATTGGAATTTTTTATTTTTTGAAAGTTAATGTCATAATGTTATCGAAATGTGGTGCACCAGTAGCTTTGCCCCACCCTACGAACGGGTTAACAAGAGCATAGTCTCAATAACAAAGCAAAAGCAAGGATCTAAATGAGCGTCAAAACCAGGTTTCGTTATAGCACATAGGGTGTTCAGAAACACTGCCACTTTTGGTACATTATTCCGTGTTCGTGAGCGAATCCTGCTCCCAGTGATAGAGAGGAATTATGTACTAACCAGGAAAGCCTTTCAGGATGGAGCGCTTTTCCAAAACAGTTCCTTTCATGATTGGGACACCTGCATGAAATACAAATCTGATGATCATTTTTTCTGGGCGGCCCTGGGATTGCTAGAAAAAGGGCAGAAATTCCTCCTATATAAGTAAAACTATTTCATTTTTAATGAAAGCGCTCGCAACATCTGTAGAGTGAAAACATTGATGGCATTTTGACAGCACTTTTGATTCCAGCCGAGTACGTCCAAGCCATATATGAACCGAAGAAGAGGGAAATCAGAGAAATGAAAAAAAATTCGTCCCGATGGGGATCGAACTAGGGACCATGGTTTCGACTTGTTTTTTTACTCCGAGAGCCGCTCAGGAAAAATTATTCTCAGTTTCATGCTCCCTGCGCGTTTTTTTTTTATAACATGCAAGAACCGTTTCGAAACGCTTCCTGTCCTGAAAAGTCTTTAGAGGGTAAGCGAGAACAAGCAACCGCGCCTCTCTGCGTTTCTGTACAGCTAGTCTTTTTGAAGGAAAGAAGAAAAACATTGAAAATTTCAAATGGTTACTTACCAACAATGACAGACGAAGCAGCCTTCCAAGCGACCATTTTTCAGGTGATTGCTCCTTGACAGTATTCTATAACTGAAAATATTTGAAATGAAATAACAAACATGAAAATAAACAAAACTCTCCAGGAAATGCCTGTCTTTGGTAGAAAAATTGATTGACGAGCATTTTGAGTGAGAGTTTTCGAGAACAAGGACAACTTAGAATCAGAGATTGCTTTGTCAATCATAAGGTATGACCAATTCTAATGCAGCATGCGGAGTAAAAGTAATATAGATAAGTTCGTAAAACAGGGATCGCGCCGAGAGAACAGTAGCAGCAATACGAACCTCATCCAACGGTCTCTAAACGCGTTCCTACCCAATGAGACCATTAGTGCTTTCTCATCTGGGGGCGGTATTCAATCCTTCCCCTAGGGGTTGGGGGACGAAAAACCCTTTAAATTTTCTCCGTCTTCCCAACTGGGATTGTCCTGATAAAGGGGCTAGGTTTAATGTATGTATGTATGTCACAGTAAGCATGCAATGAAGAGGGGGTCTCAGGACATCTGTCAACCGTGAGCCTTGGCGGTTCAGCGTTTTGTAGTGATGTCTGGGAGCTCTCACAAGTGCACACTATCACAGCATCTCCTCTTTCTTTATCTTCTTCAAAAGGCTTAGTCCCAATAAGACACAAAGAGTGTGCTTTTCAGCAACGCTCTCTAACATTTGTGTTTGCACAGAGGAATAGTTTAAAAAAAAGCCACATAGCGGGGCCACGCGATGCACTGGTCCTGCTCTAATGTCAATTTGGCTTAAGGAGGTGGTGCAGTCGTGTTTGAAGTTACGAGCTGTTTCCTATTGTAATTTCTTTTTCGGTATGATATTTTGTTACTAGATGCATTATCGTCTACGAAAAGTAATATTCACCTAATCAGCAGGTCAGGACGAAGCCTAGGAGGGGGAGAAGTACGGGGAAAACTAAGATTGCTCACGGACCCGGGGGCTCCTAACCTTCTAATGCTAGTCCTGAACGTTTACAATAAAAGAATATGCTTTCCATTGGTTTGAAATGCTCTAAGTCGCTATGCCCCCCCCCCCCCTTACCGGATGAGCGCCCAAACATGACCCCATCCGGCCGATGGTGTTGATAGTAAAACCTCACCTAGCATTTTCAACCTGACACATTCCACCACAACTCCCTCAAATTCTTCCAACATTGTCGTCGAGGGGTAAGAAACAGCAGTATTTACGTCTCATGCAGCTTAATCAATTTTACCACCTATCTCCCACCGCTCCTATTTACAATCAAGGAGTCCGAAAAAGGACCTCAGTTCACGTTGCGACCCACTCAACCGTGGTTCGCCCTGCATCAAGAGCATACCTGATTAATGAGACTAAAAACCATTCCTTCTGGAAATAAGTGGTCACTGGAAAGTGAAAGAGTACGACCTGTTTAAACTACTCCTGTGAATAGCATTGCTACAAAGCGCTAGAAGCAAGAATATTTGGGTCTGTACAGGGTCAATCCTCTGTTGGGCCAAATGCAAAGCTTTTACGCCCCCTGCAATGGGTCTCTTATCGAACTCCAAAGACTAATGGTGTAGGCAACATCTTTGAACCTGCTGTCACCTTACAAACTTCAACTCCTCCCCCTCGAGAATTGTCGAGACCCTAGCTCCTGAACAGCAGCTCCGTCCAACTCAGCTTAATTACTTCTGTATTCTATTCCAAAACCACGAACTCCCCCCTCTGGAAACCGCGATCTCCCTACGTTGAAGAAAACCCAACATTTCACGGACCGTTGATTCTTGGGTCCAACCAATCTGATATTGTCGCATTTATTCACTATCGCTAGGATAGGGATAAGTGGTCCAACTTCAATTTGAGTAATTACACTTTTGAGAATGCTGCAGATGAATAGTACACAACAGCTCAAACGATAGAATGTGTGGCTATCAAGAATTGTCAGCATTGTATAACACATCATAAGTGTGAACGTCAGATGAAGCGTTTCACCCGTATGCGACACATATTATGTCTTACTTCACGCCAAACCATGCGGTGGTGATATGTGGTGGTATTATTTTTCCGGTTATATGTGGTGGTATTTTTCTAAGGAGTTGCACTGGGAACTGCTCACTTTGTGGGCTGAGCTGATCGCGGACATCCGAATGCAGGCGATAGGTCCTCGTGACGAGATGGCCCACGAATGCTCACTTTACATCTTGTTGTTGAGTTCCGGAACGCTTGAAATTGAAGATTTGCAGGACCGTTGAAAGACCATTGGCAATGTGGCGCTGAGTACTACCCGCGAGTAAAGAAATAGAAGCCCGTCCCGGTGTAGTGGAGACAAAAATGCTGTACTGGACGGTTTGTATCACGCGCTCAGATCGTATTCGCCGTGATTCCGTACGAGATTGTTTTGATGAATCCTGATAAAGATGTGCGAAGCTCCTCTTTGATGGTAGTATGTTCACGGTCACCGAAAAATGACAGTGTTGCAGAGTGCGTAAGATTGGCCTCAACATAGACGTGCCTGGAATGCGCTCAAGGGAAGCCAAAGCAGCCCTTTCTTGATACGCAGCGTGTGGACCTGAAGTTAGGTATCCCGGTCAGGCACTTGGGCAAACTGGAGTCAGTACGCCAGATTAGCGGACCTTGCCACTAAGGGAGGCTGGAGAAGAAGAAGAAACCGCGTTGAGATTTCGGGAGACACTGTGATCATGGAATGAATAAATGAGCATCTATACCGCTAAGGAGGTTCGCTCTGCGGTATCCAAGGCTTAGTCTTAAGCTCTGCCAGACTTTGCAAATCCGTGAGTTCGCTAGCGATTCGTCAGCTAGAAGCGATGGACCAGCGGTTCGAATGATGTACCAGCGTTTCGAACGATATGCCAGCGGATACGCATCAGTGATTCAGGCGATGTACCGGCGCTTCGAGCGATGCACCAGTGGTTCAACGGTGTTTGGAAGTGGCGGAAGTCGCTCTCGTTCGCACTCTGACTCTAGCTACTTTCCCATGCTGTCATGCCCTCTCATTCTCTCATTCCCTCGTGAGCCCGGGAAGTGGCACCGTTCAAAGGGATCCCGCCACTTTCCAACAGTGTCGTGTCGCTGGTACATCACTCGAAACGCTGGCACATCGTCCGAGCTGCCGGTGCATCGCTCGTGGAACGCGATTCGCTAGCGAGTCCACGGATTCGTGAAGTTTGACACCAGCCTTATGAGCAGCCGTGACCATCCTACTTACTATAAAGCGCTTCGTCTGTCGTCTGTCGTCTGTCGTCTGTCTGTATGTCTGTCACGAAATTCCCTAGCTCCTCGGGATCCGCCTGGAGGGACCGGGTCAAGTGTGGGACGGGTGGGCAAGGTCTCACGAAGTACAAAACACACATCAGAGCCCCGCCCACAGTGGGCGTGGCGTGCGTCGACATGAAGTGTACTGACGACCGAGATTTTCAATTCTCTTAGAAAACGACCTCGAAACTGGGCCAAAAAGTGGGTAAAGGTGTGCATTGGTGAGTCACATCGAATTAGGGAGACCCACCCCCGGTGGGCGGGGCGTTCTAAAAAAGCAGTGCTTTATGAAAAATTTCATAACTCGGTTGGGAGAAAGCCTACAGAGCAGAAAACAAATTGGGGTAGAGGAGCAATGTCTAAGGTGTTCCCTGCATACATGATGGCCCGCCCACAATGGGCGGGGCGCGCTTTGAAGTGTACAGCGTTTTCTGCAAGTCCTCACAATTCGGATCGGAGAAGCCTTAGTGAGCCAGGAAAAGGTGGATAGAGGTGGGTGAAGGAGTGGAGGCCAGCTGTCATCGGTTGGCGGGGCCTTGACCAAAGTGGGCGGAGTTTGCCAAAGGTCGTCAACTTCGGTTTCCAAAAAGTCCTAGAGATAGAGGGCAACGGGGTTAGAGTTGGCGAAAGGAAGGGGGCCAAATGCTATTGGTGGGCGGGGCACGCACCGAAGTAGGCGGAGTTTGCCACGAGATTTATTGTCCGGAAGCAGTCCGGAGACCGAGAAAAAGAGGATAATGGTTGACGAAGAAAAAGAGGTTGAAAGCCGTCGATGATGGAGCGGATAGAATTTAGCTGAGAATTCAGATATTCGTGGTGTATCAAGCCAAATTTGAAAATTTTCGTCGCACCATCAAAATTCGCCGCAGATCTGTGTTGTGCGCGCAAATGCAATGCAACTGCGTGCGGCGTGCCTACACTGGTTAGAGATATAGATGCATCCCCTGTACTCTCTTGCGCCCGATCGTAATCCCACATCCGCCCTCCTCTAAATCTGGGCAGGCCGATTCCTTTGACAGCTGAGTGAGAATTCGTTTACTGGTTGGGAAATGCGTTCATGAACTTTCCATCCGCAAAGTAGATGTGCATTGGAGTTGCAGTCGTTAAGTGGATAGACTCGGAGGCTCGAGGTGAAGGTTCGGATCCTTGATGCGTGTGCTCGTTTTGCCTGCACGTCTTCTGTCTCCTAAATGTTTGCAAACGTTCTTGACTTTCCTTTGAAGCAATCACTCCCCTTGCCGACCGCTAACACTTGCTATAAACAGGTCTTTCCGTAGAAATTCCGTTTCAACCAGCATTACTCGGAGGATCGAAAAGATCGTACTCTTACCCGTGAGTCGCTTGATTTCGATAGCTTTTCGACACCTTTCCGCGATCCATGTGGTGTCACACTGTTTGCATGACCTAGAAGATTCTTCGAATCTTATTGGCTAGGCTTCAGCCGCCTAACTCTGTTGTGGACCCAGCCCCGAAAAGCAGTAGGCCACCTCGTCTTTTCACAATGTTCTTCATCGAACTTACAACGAAATACTTTGCCCAAAGGTAGTAATGTTTACTTTGGTGAAGCTTCGTTCTTCCTGCGCGATTCCCAATCCATGTATGCTATACGAACTCAGATAATGCTCCAGCAGAAACCACCGAGTTACGGGCCGCAGCAGTGTCGGCAGCATATGCTGCCGACACGCCCACTAGTCTCTGACTGGCTGGCTCGTGTCTGCACGCAGTAACCTTTGTGGTGGTAGCCAATCACGGACGAGTGGGCGTGTCGGCAGCATATGCTGCCGACACTGCTGCGGCCCGTAACTCGGTGGTTTCTGCTGGAGCATTATCTGAGAAATCAATAGAGGGTTCCTCTTTCGTATGGCGTGATGACTGGCTGCTCACGCGACTACCTTACCATCGACGTCGAGGAGGACAATATTGAAGGACGATCATACTGTACCCCTCTGGTCACCTGAAGGCGATAGTTCCGGCACAACTAAAAGCGAAACGTCATCCCCTGTCAGGGATGTGAAAGCTTCAAAAGAAGAGGTAGTTGAAATTTTCTTATGTAAGCTAATTATTGTCCAAGTGTATAGATAGTGATATGTAATGTAGGAGGAGGAAGCCGTTCCCCTCTACCGTTCAAACCCGAAAAAGCCCCACACTCCTTTGTATGAAGAACAGGTCCCACTGGATAAGCAGCTAGTACCACATGCGAAGATATATCGCGAAAGAAGGTCAGTATTTACAGGATGCAACATCCACCTATAGTTTCTAGCTTTGCTTCAGGTGAAATTTGAGAGGACCGATCTGCTCACTTACGGCGTTTGTTGAAGAAATTGAGAGAGGAGGTTCTCTCGGTGATGAGTATGGGAGTCGCATTGCATGACAACGACATCTAACAAGTGGCGCTGAAGAGCAACAAGGAATGTTCCCTGGTCAACATCTTCAAGGTAGAGCCACAAGTGGATTTAGAGTTTAAACAGAATTGTGGAATAGTAACTCGCCGCGACACCAATTTCACCTCAGAAAAGGGATTTCTGGATGAGAATCGCATCTCCGCTAACTCAACCCTTCGTACTCGAGGTCAAGAGAGGTGAATAAAAAGCAGTGAAATTTGTTTTGCTGCTTGCTGCTGAACAAGTTGCTGAACGAGTAGGTATAGTCAGTCGCAATTCATTCATACCTCTACTTTCACGTAGAAATGGCGAATTGGTCTCTGGGAGCATGCAGCGCGGACCGAAGTGGAGTTGGAAAGAAATGCATTCTGCAAGGACCCTTGCCCTAAAAGGTCACAAAAAAGGTCGAGAGAGTGGTACAGTCTGTTTCGGCAATGACTCACTCATTTACGGAGATGCCTGTCTTTAGCCAACGGCCACCCCGGAAAAAAATTATATGGTTGTGCAGTCTGTTCCTTAAGAGCCCGACCACTTATTACCCACTTTCAACACCCTAGTATTTCAATAGGAGGCCAGCGGACAAGTCTGAGTCCCTGCTGAAAATTGTTTTCGCGCGCCGAACTTGAAGATGAGTGCCACCACCTCGCATTTGATGACCCAAGAACTTATTTGGATTAGTTCAGGTCTTGCATCAAGTCCACAGACTCCCTCTTCCCACGATGCTAATCGTCGACTCCTGGAGCTCATTCAAGGATCGTGCGAGCAATGAAGGCTGCTTTGTTGGCTGGCAGAACGGTGACCTGGTGCAACATCACAGGTCGAGCCGCTTGAAGTCTACTTTTTCTCGTCTTTGAACCAATGCCAAAGCCACTTGCCTTTTAGGTGGTGGATTACAAAATGACTTGTTCGTCCAGAAGTTGGTCGGAATATCCATTACCATTATGGAACTGCTAGACTTCTCAACTTCAATTTTCGGAGACGGGCTTGATAGGACGGCAGAGCTCAGGAGGATAGTCTTTGTTAGGAAAAACCCGGTAAAATAAAATCCTAGTGGAATGAAAGTTATGTCCTTTTCTCGAGATGTCATCTATGTGAACATCACGCTTCAGGTCATTGGATATCCTGACTCCAAGATCTTTGATACAGTCCGCCTTTGACTACTATCAGGGAACCGTATGTCAAGCTGATGAGAACCCAATGAAAGTTATTTTGAGGTTGACAGCA